CCCCTTTTCCCCTTTCCTCCCTTTCTTCCATTTTTCCTCTTGTTTCCATTTTCCCTTTTCCCCCTTGTTTATCCCTTTTTTCCCTTTTACCCCCTCCTTTCTACCCCTTTCCCTGCCTTTTCTCCCTTTTTTCCATTTTTTCAATTTTTCCTTCTTTTCCCTTCCCCCTTCCTCTCTTTTTTCCCCTTCTTTCCATTTTTCCTTATTTTTCCCCTTTTCCCCCCTTTCTTCTCCTTTTCCTTTTTTCCTCTTTTTTCTTATTTTTCCCAATTCTTCCCCTTTTTTCCTTTGGTCCACTTCCCCCTGTTTTTTTCTTTTTCTCTTTTTTCCCTTCCCCCCCCCTTTCTTCCCCTTTCTTTCCATTTTTTCCCTTTCCCACTTTTTCCCCTTTTTCCCTTTTCTTCCCCTTTTCCTCGTTTTCCTTTTTCCCCTTTTTTCTCCTTTCCCCCCAACCCTTTTTACTTTTCCCCTTTTTTCCCCTTTTTCACCTTTTTCTTTTTTTTCTCCTATTTTCCCCTTTCCCCCCTTTCTTCCCCTTTTCCCTTTTTTCCCCTTTTTTCCCCTTTTTCCCCCTTTTTTTCCCCTTTTCCCCCCTTTGCCCCTTCTTTTTGGACAGAAACCTACAAACAACATCAACAACAAATATCAACATGCATTAACATTAATATTATTAAATTAATATTTCTCCCTGTTATTCTTCTGATTCCACATCCGGAATTCCCAGATGGAGAAAAAGCCAAGAAACGAGAAGGTAAATCCCATTTTAAAACCCATTTCCTAAACATTTTTTCCCCTTTTCTCCCCATTTTTCCCCCTTTTGTCCCCCTTTTCCCCTCTTTTATTCCCTTTTATCCCATTTTTTTCTCCTTTCCCTTCTTTTTTCCGGTGCGTTTCCCACTGATATTTTCTTTTTTCCATGGAATTTTCCCATCACTCATTTCCCCTTTTTTCCTTTCCAGCCAAAATCCAATTCAAGAAACGCTTGGGTAAGAAAGCACAAATTCCATAAATCCGCATTTCCCCCAAAGCTGGTTAAAAATAACCCGGGAATTCCGGTTATTTTCCACGTTTTCCCTGGAATTTGGGGCTAATTAGTCCAGGGAAGGGAATTTCCTGCAATTCCACACCCGGGGGTTGTTCTGGTGGGAAAAATGGGGGGGG